ATTAACAAAATCAGTTTTTCACCAAACAATTTTTTGTAGGTAAGGTAGGAAGCCTTGAAGCAATGAAGGAATGATGCAGTTTTGTTGGGAAAATAGTCCTCCACCCTGCTGCTGCAACTGTTTATAACTACTTTTGACCTTGTAATTGACCTTGTCAGTTTTTTTAAGCCTCCCCCACTTTAGCTTATCTCACCTCTCTATCCACCAGTCTCAAGTCATATATTAATTCTTAGAGGGGATTTTGTTTTCCAGAATCTTTTCTTCTTTTCCTTTCCAGAGTCTTCTGTCAGACTCTACATTTGGTGATGTTCTCGGTAGGAGCAGAGACTCAGAAGTACTCTGAAACACAGGTATATTATGGGTCCTGGACCGATGTGGTAGTGGATCTGTGCTGTATCCCAGGAACTGAGTGCTGCATTTCTAGAGGATGATCAAGAGGATCCTCATCCTCATTCAAGAGGGTGAATCACTCAAGGAAGGGGAGAATGAGTTCCAGGGTGAAACTCTCCCCTTCGAGACATGGTCTGGTATGGACTCAGTTCTGAGGCCACATCCAGGAGCCAAAGTCCAGTTATGTGTTTCAGTTACACTTTATCTGCAGCCAGGCAGTTCTTTGATGATGAACAGTGTAGGCTTTATAAAAAGGGATTTTTCTCTCCTAAGACTTTCAGGTAACCTGGAGAGGCAAAAATATATATTCAGCAGCAGTTTGATAAAGTGTCTGGCAGGAGGACCAGAATGCCCTCCACCTCAAGAACCTGCAGGAAGCAGTGGCTGCTGCTTTTCTGACGGCGGTGCTGACTGAACTCCATGTCCATGTGGCAAATCTGATCAGCAGAAACCTAAAGGCAATGCAACACCTGCCTTCAATGAACTGGCCTGGCTCAAACCTAAAGTAAAACCTGAGAACAGATGGCTTACCCTTGTTTTGCTTGTATCAGCATTAAATATGTTCATAAATGCCAGTAAGTATCCTGGTTGATAAGCCATGACATGTGTAATAATGCAGGACAAGTTGTGCAATCACATTTAGATGCCCACATATTGTCAGTGGTTATGAAGGGCAAAAAGCCAAATGTCTTCAGCGACTTAATACATGATTTCTGGTGTATTGTACATAAAATTCTTGAGTGTTGCTGTTGCTTCATAAAAAGTGAAAGAGTGCTTTATAATTTTTATAACTCAGATGAGAGATAGGGACATACAGTTATTCAGAACTCCCTTATAGTTCAATCACTTCTCTGCAATAATGCTTTTTGAAAATAAAAATTGTTGTAGATTTAATATTACAGGTGTGTCTCTAGAAAATAGACTGTCACAGACACTGTTCTTAATTCATCTAGATCCCCAATAGCCTGTGCATCTCGAAGCTTTCTCCTTGTTGCCTGGATGCTGGATGGCTGTGCATGGGGGTAGGTCTGTGAAGGATTTTCCTTCTTGCCTGATACAAGCCAGACTTTGGATATGGATTCACTCAGTTATGATTTGAAATCTTTGTATTCAAAATTCTGCTTTGGCAGAAAAGTGAAAGAGAGCAATGAAGGTTTGAGCATTCCACACTCTTACTTGGACAAAGCAACCTTATCTTGAACTCCCTTAATATCATAGCTCTGCACATGGAGGCTTGAACTCATTTTGAGAAATTGCATGTCTAGAAATTTGGCTTCTGGCACAGATGCACATATGGAGAAATTCCAACAAACCTAAGGAAGACAAAAAATAAAATAGGTCCTGTAGAAAACAGCAGATGAGAAGGCATAGTAAGACTGATAATTCTGATTGCATGGAGAAAGGAGCTGCTCTTGACTTTTGGGAGCTCTAAGTCTGTATTTTAAAGCTCTGCCTTCCCAGATTTTCTGCACTGACTGATACTGGGATATCCTAGAGTGAGGTGGATGAAGAACAGTTGAATTTTCTCTTTAACTCTGTATCACATATGAGGACTGGCAGAGATGTATTGAATTTTCACTCAAATCATAGAATATCCTGAGTTGGAAGGGAGCCACAAGGATCATCAAAGTCCAACTCCTGGTTATGCACAGGACCACTCCAAGAATCACATCATGTGCCTGAGAGTACTGTCCAAATTGTCGTTGAACTCCGGCAGGTTTGGTCTTGTAACCACTTCCCTGGGGAGCATGTTCCAGTGCCCAGCTAGCCTCTGGTGAAGAACCTTTCCCTGACATCCAACCTAAACCTCCCCTGACAGATCTTCAGGCCATTGCCTTGGGTCCTATCACTGGTCACCACAAAGAAGAGATCAGTGCCTGTCCCGCCGCATCCCCTCATGAGAATGTTGAAGACCACAGTAAGGTCTCTCCCCTCAGTCTCCTCTCCTCCAGGCTGAACAGACCCAGTGACCTCAGCTGCTTCTCGTATGGCTTCCCCTCCAGACTCTTCACCATCCTCATGCCTTCCTTTGGACATTCTCTAATAGCTTTGTATCTTTTTTATATTGTGGCACCCAAAACTACACACAGGACTTGAGGTGAGGCAGCACCAGTGCAGAGCAGAGCGGGACAATCCCCTCCCTTGACTGGCTGGTGATGCTGTGCCTGATGCCCCCCAGGACATGGTTGGCCCTCCTGGCTGCCAGGGCACTGCTGACTCATATTCAACTTGCCATCAACCAGGACTCCCAGGTCCCTTTCAGTGCTGCTCTCCACTGTCTTGTTCTGTAGTCTGTCCATACATCCAGGGTTGCTCCATCCCAGATGCAGAATTCATCACTTGCCTATGTTAAACTTCATAGAGTTGGTGATTACCCAGAGTGAAAGAATTTTGCAGAGAGCAGCAACATTAATGGCTTGAACTAACTGGGTTTCCTGTTATTCCACAAATAGACATATCTGCTAATCACTTTCCATTAGTAAACTTGTCCTTGGAGCTAGCAGTATATACAAATGAAAATCTCACATGTCCCAGTGTTATCCTCAGTTATGGTAAGGTTTCTGCATGTGTTCTAGAATGTGTTTGTTTTTCTTTCTGTTTCCTGAAGGGGAGATGTTATGCTTTCATACTTTTTTACTGCCTGCTCGGTTTGTTGGTAAGTGTTGGGTAGATAAGATTTGGGTTCAATAAACTGCCATCCAGAATTCACTTACAATCAAATTTCAGAGCTCATGCACCTGAAATAAGTCTCATATGACACCTCTGGTGTTCTGGTCTGAAACAAAGCCACAAAGATGTTAAGGAGAATCTGTGGTTGTGAGAAGGAGAAGAGAAACCTATCCAAATATTTTGGAAATGTACAGTTGGTATTTTCCTTGTAAACTTTAAAAACTCGTGATGTGGTTTCTGTTTTTTCCCGAGACAGCTTTGACTTTTCCACATTAATCATTTTACTCATCAGTTTGTTTTCCTTTGTCCTCCATTCAGCAAAAGCTTCTTGAAACCCTTGCTATGAATAGTTTCAGTATTTGTCTTAAGGTGAAGAAAATTTCTCTGTTTAGATCATAAAGCAACCCAAGTGCTGTATACACATAGTCAGGGCTTCAGGTTTCCAAGCCAGAGCTATGGAGCCTGTTCTTAACATGGGTTCCTAAATTGATGTTTAAATTAGTTCTAAACCCATAGAAAGCCTGTGCACATGCTTGACTATCTGTGGTCTCCATGTGGATTTTAAACAAATTTTCATGCAGTCAATCAAAGCTCCATAGGCAGGATCAGTACCTCTCATGCTTAACACTGTATAGGTTCTTGGGAGAGACCAGCAGAGTTTGCAGTTCAGTATCAATATTTCCTGAAGGCTTATATATTTCAACTGGAAGCTTATAATCTCAATATATACACACTTCTAATTCACATAATGGTTTTAACTCAGTCCTCCAAAACTCAGCTCTGCTGAAATTCAGTTCATTGGACATTCAGTTCACTGATTCAGTAAAAGTTGTAAGAAACTCGGATTTGAAAGAGCCCAGCAAGTCAGCACTGAAACTTTAACTTTTCTTAATGCTCTAGGGAGAGGTTAATTCTGCTCAATCACTTTTTATTCACCTGCAGCATAAAAGGAACTGCAGACACTTTAATAGCTGAATTGGAAGGTTGTTGAGTCACCATTATATCTCTGTAGTCTTTGTTCACTTGCTATTTTGCAGCTGCTTTTACCATTATTCACCGAGTTGCCACAGAAATCTCTGATAGTGGTAGTAAGAGATTTTTATTTCCCTAGCAGTGGGAGAATTGCAGTGCTAATCCAAATCATTACTGCTAGCACCAGAGGGCTTTGCATTTAAAGTGCAAGTTCTACAGTAGAATTTGTAGCAGCAGGTGATTGTCTCCAGGTGTTAGGGAAGCATATACTGGGTTTTGTGTGTGAAGGTCCCTATGATTTTGAATCAGGCTTTATAGGACTTATATGAAAATATGCCTTGTCTGAGACTTCAGGGCCTTGGATACTTCCGTATTATAAGTAATTACATATTATAATTAATAACTTGATAAGTATTTTGTTGCAGCTTTGCATTTCAGCTATATGAGCTGAGATGGATTTTCTCTTATGTGCAGGCTGTAATTTGTGAATAGTACCAGATGAAGTTGCATGCACTGTCCTGCTCATCTGTCAGGGGGTATCATGGAAGGGTACTATATATCTCTATATAATATATTATGTTATATATATATAATTTTATATATATATTATGGAAAAGAATACAAGGAATGTAAGTACTTCATGGATCCTGAAGTACTTTCTACACTTTGGAATGGTGCACAGCCTGGAGTACTGAGAAAAACAGAACTGGTGTTTGCTGCCTTTACTATATAGAAACCATAGGGTCATAGCTTTTGGGTCATGAATGGCTTTACCATGTGGGGCATCTGATTTTTTGTACAGAGGCATGAGCTCAATTCTTCCAATATAATCACATACATTGCACCGAGGCCCTTTTAAGTTGCCACACCATAAACAAATTACTAAAATAAAATATTCTGAGGGGACTTTCCTGGTTTGTCTGAAACAATAAGAAGAAGTTGGTCCTTTATTCTGCTCTTCTTCCCAGTGTGTGTGATGAGAAGAGCAAATCAGAGATCTCCCAATTATCCATTTTGCTGCAGGGAACCATAGCAGCAGTGTTACACAGTAAGTTCAAAAGATACTTTAAGCAATTTTTTACTAAAAAGCCACCATTTTTACCCAGGAGTTTGATAATTAGTGTACTTCATCATCATATTTCATTTCATAATCAGCAACTGAGAGCATGTTGGGTCAAGTCAGACAGACCTTCTATGACCTGCTTTCTGACAAAGCAAGTTGGTAGGATTATAGCAGAGCTGGCCTGCTCTTTCCAAAACCAAAGGAGCAAATCAGTGCATGCTTTAAACCTAGACACTTCAGAGCAGTTATACCAGTGTCACATTAACTGGCCCCAGATGTGTGAGGAATTTGGATTCCCTGATGCTACACACAGCCTTTTGTCAGGTATTAGCAAATTTGCACCAGGTGCATTCCCTCATGGGTGTGCAATTGATGATGCATAGGATTACTCTTCTTAGTGCTCAAGGGGAAAGGAAAATGATTTTTAGAATGGATTGTGTGCTTAGAGGAGAGGTAGAAGAAACAAATATTTTATATATTTTTCCTGTTCATTCAAATAAGTCCATTGATGTGAGTCTTTCAATGATGCTTGCAACTGAAGCTTGTGTCTCTGTCGTAGTACAGGCAAAGCAACGAAATGGATCTCAAGCCTGGATCTCACTTGTGCTCTCCTCTGAGTTCAGAATTAAAATGAACTACAAACAAAAGTAACAGTGTTTCCCTTACCCATTTCTCGCGTGAGAAAGTGAAATAGGAAAGACGCAGCATAATAATGAAAAGAAAGCCATGGTTTTAGAATTCTTTCTCTCATAGGCAGCAGACTGGTGAATAGTCTCAGAGAAGGGGTTTCATTTTTAAGAGCCCAACTGGTTCTTTGCTTGTCCACAAGGCTTTGCGTTTTACTCTCTGTCTCGGGTCTCTTTCAAGCCTGTCCCTAGTACAAGGGTGAAAAATAGTAGGGTATGTGAACATATACAACCAGATTTTGGTCCTTGCCCTGATGGATGGTGATGAATTAGCAAAAAGAGGAGAAAGTAATATACATTGTCATAGCTCATATAAATGCCTAAATAACAATAAGAAAGTTATCTGTGAGCAGAGGTGTCTTAATGTAATGTCTTTCAAACTGCTGTCCACAAAGCTTCAGCTGGCCTCAACAGCAAGTGCTTGAAGTGGTTTGAGCTGTGCTGAGGTATGCTGTAGATGTTTAGTTGCTTAGTTATGCAAAGCATGTTAAATTGCATGACTGCTTTGGTTTATGTAACATAATTCTCCCAGATTCTCCAAGTACTTAACAATCAATGCCTGCTTAGTACAGTTCTGTCCCTGTGCTTTTCCTTGAGTGAAAATAGTGGCGAGCAGGGGAATGGTGTTTTTTATGTGTGCCCATTGCAAAACCTCCAGTCTGCACAAATCACATGTAATTAATGCAGTTACGATCTCCTGATATAAGTAATCTTGATTCTTTCTGTAACATGTATGGCTTTGAAGAACTTTGATTCCCTTCTGATACTTGCTTTAGACCTCTGTTTTTGTTCACTTTACTGAAGTTCGTTCTTATTGCAATGGGTTGTAAGAAGAAAGAATCTGTCCCTATGTGTTTTGCAGCATTTGCAGTTTAACTTAAACTCTGCTATGAAAAAGAAATGGGATCTCTGAAATACTGAGTATCATAAGGGTTCTGGTGTTTACACACCGTCTGCTTCAGTACACAATGGATAGCTGATCAGCTCCTTCCTGTAGCAGCAGGTAATAATATAGCGTTCCTGTGAATGGATAATATTGGTCCCAGTTCTCTACTAGTGTAAAAGGAAAGGAAGCAGATCTTAAAGAGAGTGTACATATATATTGATTCTTCATAAATTACTGTGATCATATACTACTGTGCTGCCTAAATGCTGTAATGAAAGCATTTGGTCTGCCTGTTAGCTCCTTCTTCACCCAGTCATATGTAAGGATGATGCCCTCAGCCATCAGACCGTAAGGTCTTGTCTCCCCTAATGACAGCAAGAGATAGACTATCCTGTTGCTAAGTGTTTGGTTCAGGCAGAATGGTTTTCTAAAGCTCTCAATCTAACATCCTTGACTCTTTTCTTTCTTTTTTTTTTTTTTTTCTGCCTGCAGAGCCAAAATGAGGAGTGCTGGCAAGAATACTTTTTTCCCCCGCTGTTCTAATCCTGCTTTCTTTGATATCCGAAATTCAGTTTTGAGAGCAGATGCTTTTAGAAATTTGTATGGGCCAGTAGGGACTGGTCACAGCATTAATGTTGTAAAACCTTCTAAGCCAATTTGTACCAAAAGGTGTTTGTTGTTAAAATGCTCAAACACATCTAAAAGCATGCTGAAATGGTTTGTTCTTAGCATGTGTTACACATCGACAGGTCCCATTAGCTTTATCTGGCCCTGTGCTTTGACTTTTGATTATTTGGGAACCAATTTTTACACTGTATTCTTTTATGCCTGTCAAGCATGCTTAGGCTGGAGTGGAGAAAAAAGTTTCTCACAGTCAGGTGACGTAAGTTCTTGAGCAAAAGAGGTGAGAGAACAAGATACCAAAGAGTTCTAATGTGTTTATTAAAGGAATTGTGTGCTTGAATCAAGAAGGAGCTGGCAGAGGGAAATATGAACTGGTAGACATGTAGTGTTACAAAGAAAAGATTTAGCAAATAAAGTGTCCTAGTTACAGGGGCCGGGAGCAGTTTATCACTATGTGGGTATAACCAAAACCATGTATTCTACACCCTCTATGTCATTTCTGATGGACTGCACACCTGACACCTCTGGCTACAAGCTGTGTGTTTGTGGGTATGGGCTCTTTTGCTTGCAGTATTACTTTCATTTTTATAACTACAAACCTGGGGAAACCCTGCTGGATTCTGACCCATTGGTTACTAGAATTATATATAACCTATATTCTGTCTGAAATATTTTCCCTTAAAAATGCGGAAATTATTGAGCACAGGAATGTGAGAAACAAGCATTGGATATGACGCTTCATACTACTTCCTATTTTTTATCTTATTTTTTTAGCATCTCCAGCCTCATTTATCAGCTTACAGAATTACTTGTGCATAAGTCCATCTGCTAGGTTGGGTCTGGGAAAAAGTGGGGCTCATCTGAAGAACATCTGATGTGTTATTTAGGAAGCATTTTTTTTCTTGACTGATGTCAGCTACTCAGCAATATTTAAGCTGTAAGCTCGTAAGCTGACCTGCTGAATGGCTCTTTCTAGTTCTTTTTTTCCCAGATTCCTGCTGGACTTTTAGAACCCCTTGCTGTTCTGCACTGAACCAGTCTGCTTTAATTCTGCACTGACACCCAATGTTCTTAGTTTCCCCAAGGAAACTGGTAGCATTTATAGACTGCCAGTCCAGCTGAGACTCGTGAGGGAAGCATACCTTTCTGAGGACCCACCCTCTCCTACTTGGATGAAATCTTGGAGATCTTTGACTTTGTGGATAGACTGAGTTGAATGCTGTGGTGAGAAAGAGTTGATGAAGGTAATGGTGACGGAGCAAAAGCAGATCTTCCCGCTATATCCTTGTGGAACTCTTGCTCTGATGCCATATGTTTTGATGCCATTTTGAGACTAAAGCCAGGGAATAGGAAAGAGTGCTAACTTCTTAGAAGCTGGTGATGGAGTGCTGCCTCCGCAGAGCAGCCCTGCTACACTTGTTGGTACTAATTAGTTTGTGTCTGTTGAGCTTCCTTATGACACAATCTGTTCTAATTAACACTTCCCTGTAGATTGGTGCTGAACTCCAGAAATCTCATTCATTTGTGACACACATTTCACCATCCCAGGGAGATGAATTTATTTTGTTGACAGAGGTGCTGATAACACTATCAGACTGCAGTTTTCACTCTAAGTGTGTTTCTCAGAGATGGAGAGAGGTGACAAGACAGCCTGAGTGGGAGAATGAGTTAAAAATAACAGCAAGAATTGCAGCTGTAGTTTGTCTACCAGTTTGAATTGTTTCAGCCCCAGACCATGTGATACTGCAGACAATTATAGTCAGTGTATATTCCTTCTATCTCTGCCTCTTTATTCTATGTAGTAACATGAAAAGATACAATAGATACAATTGCTAGAATGAGAAGCTTAGAAATCATATATATATATACTGTGTATATATTTATATATAAGCATGCTATATACAGATATAGTCTCTGTCTCTCTCTCTATAGCTTGCTTTAAAAAATAAAAAATCAGGAGCTACTCTATAAGTTAAATATAAGCCTTGCAAATAGAATATAGCTGAAACTACTGCAAAGTTTGGATCAGAGGCAACAACACCTGGGGACCTTGCAACAGGTTTTAGAAATAATTTGCAACTGAATATATGAGACCCTTTTTACTTGGGCTGTGGCAGCTTGTCAGTGAGGCTCCCTGCTGCAGCAGAGAAAGGAGTAATTGCAAAAAGCTCTCTGACTCTATAGGTACACTGAAACAGCATTGGACAGGGAGACCTGTGCTATTTCCAACCTACCAAAGAACTCTGGAAATTCTGAAAAGTCGTCCCCTGCCACCATAACTCCTCCTTCACCCTCAGCATAGTCACAGTCTATGCTGGCTGAAGCCTGTCTGGTGCTGGCTGAGAACTAGGGTGTTTGGTTCCTTCTGGTAGGAGGAGGCACCAACTAGAAGGTGCCATCCTTCTGGTTTACATGATCTATTCTGTGTGAAAGTCCATATCTTACAGTTTAAACTTTTGGAGTCAGAAGATTGTATGGCTGTTAGCGTGTGTCCTTCATGAGATCGGCTTTTCCTTGATATTCATGGTCATCTTCTCTGCATCTTATGTTGTTGGCTTCTGTGTGGCTTTATGTTTTATTGCTGTTCTCTAGCATGACAAAAGCTCCTCTGGAAATGCAAAAGGCAATTTTTCTGCCTTAATGGCTAAGTCAGAAATGACTTTGCTTTTGGCATTTATCTTCAATCCTCTCTGCAACATAACAAATAGCTCATCTTATAGCATGGTTTTCCTTCAGCCATTTCTGTGTTGTCAGTCCTCATGTACTGTGGTATGCCAGACACTATGCTT